CATAGGGGTGGCCTGCGCTGCACTACGGAGAGAATCCGTTTTCAGTGATTTTGCACACACATATGTGTTGCAGAAGCAAGGAATCCGTGGTCACGGTTCCGTTGCCTGGGTCGTTTTCTGATTGCACGCACTAATATGGTGATATTCGTGCATATGCGAATTCACACGCATGTGTGTTGCTGAAACAGGCAGACATGTGTATTGCTGGAAGGGGTGCTGTCGTGACTTGGCTGCGTGTCGTGTCTTCGCGCACACGCACACACGCGCACGCTAGCCGCTAGATTGCAGCATAACCAGGGAAGCCCAGTTCCGTGTGCACATACACATGTGTGTTGCAGAAACAAGGAATCTGTGGTCATGCTTCCGGTTGCTTTGATTCTGTTCTGATTTCGCACACTCAGCCGCCCGTGTGCAGACAAGAATTCGTGGTCATGGTTCCGTGTAGTCACACAGACACATGTGTTGCGGAAAGGGTTGGAAGGGGTTGTTGTGATTGTAGTGCGTGTCGTTTGGCAGAAGTGGAGATTCCGTGGTCAGTGCTGGCGCGCACACACATGTTTCTTTCAGCAGCATGGAATCCGTGGTCAACCTTTCGGCCGCCCGTGTGTTGCAGAAGCCAGCCCCGAGTCTAAGTGATTTGTGTGTGTGTGTGTGTGCCTTTGTGCGCATTTCAGAAGCAAGGCATCCGTGGTCGCGGTTCCGGTTTTTGCAAGATGTTCGAGCATTTCCACACACATGTGTGTGGCTTTCCCTTTTGTTGAGTTGCCTGCTGCCGCTGTTGCAAAATCGAAAACTGACATTCCGTGCAAAAGGTGCAAGAACGGCCCTCGACAACAAAGCGCACCGTGCATTGCTTGAACGATGTCAAATGATGTGGGTCATTCTCATCTGTGTCGGTTGATTGCATGGTTGATATAGGATCCGAAGCAGAAGAATAGGTAATCCCAGAAAAGGTACTACAGTTCAGGCCCTAGGTACAATTAGTAAAGACCCTAAACAGGGCCCGAATAGCCGACAGCAGCATCGGAAGATCGCGGCCCCAGAAGAGGGTCTCCCTTTTTACCCCTCTTCGCCATAAAGCATTACCCTTCGCCGCGCTGGCATCGCCGCCTCCGAGAACGCAGGTCCAAGGCGAGATCAACCCTAAGACAGGGGGGGCATCTGTCCAAGCAGCAGGTTGCTCGGCTGCGAACCCACCACGCAACGCCAAAGGCTACCTTGGCGGCCTTGGACAAGATTGCCTACATGGGCAAACGAGGAGGCGGAGGCCAACAGCAACCATGGGAGCCATCGTATGGGCGCTCATATTCTGGGCGCAATCCCAAGTGGGGATACTGGCCAGGGGCGTGGCCGAGACAAGGCAAGGACTCCACCCCGGAAAGGAAGAACAACTTTCCTGCGTACGATGCGAAGTGGACCCAGCCGGACATTGTTCCGATTATGGAACACAGGTCCGAGGCCGGACAGGAACGACGGACCTCTTTTCTGCAACAGGTACAAGCGGCTGTGAATGCTGCCAGGAAGCAAGACAACAGGGTGATGAAGCTGCAGAGCGACCAGGAGGCCAAGCATTTACAGTGGAATAACTACAAGAGAGACATACAGCAGGCGTTCGAGCAGGAGTACCGACGCCACCAGGAACATGTCACCCGGTTGGCAGGCGACCTGAAGGAGGCCGAACGACAGCAGCAGGCCGTGCAAGACAACCTGCGAGCCGTCATTCTGGAAGGAATGAAGGGCGCAAGAGAAAGCGGGCGACGCCAAGCCCCATTCTCGAGGAATGGGCCGCCCTGGTTGGCGAGGTGGCGCACAACATGGACGTCGACCATTCGGGCGGCGACGAGGCCGCAGACCTACAGTATGCGACAAGGGTCATGCTCAGCCAGACACCGGAGCAGACCAGGCTACCACATTTTGGGGCAGAGGCGCCGAGGACGCCGCCTCACAGGCCGACAGGAGGAGCGCCTGTCCCCGCCTGCAGTTCCGCGACCGGCTCAGACTACTTATGCCCCCGTTCTGGAGAAGTCGCCAGGGACTCCCAGTATGAATATGCAAGGTCCCAAGCCAGGAGGCCCCCCGCAAGGTCCTGCTCCTCCCACAGCAGCGGCTTCCGCGAATCCAGAAGAGAGGCCTGTGGAAACGCCTCCCAAGAGGACAAACACGGTCGACAACGGACGGAGGACTACCACCTTCTCGGCCAGACCCAGGAGGGCCGACGCTCAAGGACAAGCTCGAAGGAAAGCGCGCAGCCACTCCCTTCAAGGCGGCGGAGGATTCGGGAGTTGGCGGCGACAATACGACCCATCCGGGCCAACATCCGAGCAGACGCAAGTGTTCGACATCGACGACGACGATCTGGACGGTGCTCTGCCGACGGAGATCCCAGGACAAGCCTCGCCAGAGTTGGCCAGGATGGAGTGATGAACATTTGTACAGCTGACGGCGGTGCGAACCTGTGTCAGTGATGGCGTGCCCCGCCTGTGGGAGCCCGAGACCTGTGGAGTGCAATTGGGCGCACTCCCAGGACTCCAGTACTCCTCCGGGCGTGGGTTCTGCCAGCGACGATCCCGGTGCGACCCGTTCTGTCTCCATCTTGCTTTTGTGCTTGGCCGAGTAGGAGTCTATTCACTCGGCTTTCTTCCTGTGGGCTCTGTAATTTTACACGTCTTCCTCCACCAGGCCCGTCTTCCTTGTGGATTTTTCCGGCCGCCGATACTGCATGCAACCGTGTCGCTGGCATGGAATGGGGGCCTTCCCCAGATCAGTGTTACCTTGAAGGAGCGCCTAAAAGACTTATCGGTGGCTCTGGGTTGTCTGCCCTTCTTGGTGCTGATCTTAACAGGTGTGATGATGCTGTTGTGGCAGTTTCCTACGCTAAGGACCTTCCTTGCCACGAATGGGAGGATCGGAGGCGTTTTTGGCAAATCTCTGTGTTCCCGTGCTTCTTTCGTTCGCGGGCCTTCGCGCTGGGAGGCACGCCCCTCACTTCAGCCTGGAGGGCATTGAAGTTCTGGGTCAACCCCTCTGCCCTAGTTTCCCCTTTGGGTTTTTCGGGTTTAGTCCTGTCACATCAACCTGTGTCGCTGGCATGGGAGGCCTGTCGGCCTTGTTCGGTTATCTTTGGAGGAGCGCCTAAAAGACTTATCGGTGGCTCTGGGTTGCCTGCCCTCCAGTTGATGACCTTGCCTGAAACATCTGATCGCCCAAGCTTTGACGCAGCCTGCTGGGTGCTGCTCAGTTTATGCGGCTTCCTTGTGCCGTTGTCACGGGCTTGCTTCGTCCTCGTCTTTCTTGGGTTAGGGAGTTTGATCTCCAACAAACTGCCCGGCAATTTCCCCACTGGGTCGCCTTCTTAGGTTGCCCTTTTCTGGGGTAGAGCCTACCTTCCTGTTGCCACTCGGTCAGGTCGGAAAGCCGGATGCGCCTATATTGCGTCAGGTGCCCAGTCGGGGAAGAGTCGCCAACCCTCCAACCAGCTGGTTTGCTAGGTTCTTGTGGTTGTTGGGTATTGGGCATTGGGGTTCTCTGTGGACCACACTCTACTGCTTGTTCTGTGCCTCAGCCTATGACACGCCTTCTGCTGGATTTGGAGTGTGCCGTGGCGAGTCTGCCTGAGTCTTTGCCTCCCGTTTCGCAGCGTGGACAACGTGGTCCTGCTTGCGCCAGCAGCCCCCCTCACCATGCAACCCTGTCGGAGCCCGCGTCACATCAGGCACAAGGACCAGTTTATTGCGATGTCCTCGCAGCGGGTTTCCCCACAGTAAGGCTGGCTATGCAAAGGGAAGGGCGAGATGCAGTCATTTCGCTTGTAGACTGTAGACGTCCAACGACAATGGGGTCCGAATTCCCCACATGTGCTGGCGTGGACTTCCTCAGCTGCATCCAGATGGCATGACCGTTGTTGCGACACCGGCATGCGTCGACTTTCGACAAGACCACTTTCGTGCTGGATATGAGTCGCTGCTCCGGGCCAACTTTGCCATTCTGGGATGGTCCCTTGTTGCCCACTGGGATTTGCGCACTGCTGCGGCACCACCTATTGGAGAAAACTGGTGCGTCTTTGTTTCGGGCAATGAACAGCCTATTCAACCAGGTCAGACAACCAAGGTACAGGCAGGCGCTGTTTTCACATTTGTGCCACACCCGAGCCCTCCTGCGCATGTTGTCGCGACTCAGCATGACCAGCCCCGGTCATAATGGATCGCATTGGCTGGTTAGGCGCAGCCATGTATCGCGAGTCGTCCGGCACGCAGGTGAGTTGGGACCTGCGCTGTTAGAGCTGGCTGCGTCGGCTTGTGGTAATGAAGTGACAGAACTCATGTTTGGGTTTCCTTCCGATGACAGTCCCCCCCTGCAGGTTGTCTACAAGGGCCGCTGCATGAAAGGGGTATTTGCTGCGGAGCCCCTGCCTGAAGGTGCTTTCGACCGTTCCAGTCGGGCGTTTGTCTTCTACGATCTTCGGCAGTTGGGGGAAGACCCCACATTCAGAGTTCGCCGGCCAGGTTGAGCCACACCTGAGGCCGTTGTGGCAGAGCTTGGCATTGCCCTTCCATCAGGTTACTGTCCTTGCGTTTCCGGACTCCGGACGCACAAGGGACGGGTCCTCCTGCATGATGGATGTACTGTTGTAGTGGGTCTTAAGACTACGCCTCAGCCCGATGAAGTTTCAGACACCTCATGCTCTATGTCCCGTGCACTTGGTCCGGTAAGCCTGGCGCACTACGCCTCCCCCACATTTGGCAATGCCGTGCCATGGCACAGGGGACTGGAACAGGTTTGATCGAGAAGACAGGGAGCCTCCGGATTCCCATGCCGTTCTTGCCCTACATGAGCCTGCAGTGCGTGAGTTTATGCAGGCCGGCTTCTTGGTGCTGATGCCAGGGTACAAACAAGAAGTTATACAGTTGGTGCTTCGTGCGCCTTGCGCTCTTGAGGACGCGTTGTCCGAGATCTCTGACGCAAGATCGGCAGACAATTCCGAGAGATTTGATTGTCTGGTTCCTGCGACCCCGCAGCCAGATATCTCGTTTGGCACAGTGCTCGCTGTCCCGGAGTGGGCTTCTGTGTATGGATGCTGTGTGGTTGCAGACCTTCGACTAGTGGACAATCGATTGTTTGCTTACCTCACCAACGGCCGCCTCAATAGGAGCTCCCTCCTTTTGCAGCTGGGGGTTGCCGATGCAGTGGGTCTCCGTGTCTACCTGGGACATGCTCTCATGGAAGAGCAGGGCATGTACTCCTTTCAGGAGGGCCTCACCATTTCCGTTGTGCCAGCTGGTAGACTGTTGGCCCCCAAGGCCTCCCGCGAGAGTCTTTTGGAGGGCATCAGGGCGTGGGTCATGCCCTGTCCAATCTTCCCAGGCAGGCACCAGACAGCCTTCCTTGTGTTGCACGAGGGCGGTCACCGCGTTCTTCCAATAGACGTCGAGGAGGTACAGTTGTCTCAGGACTTCAAGACCGCGGCGGCGGCCTCCCTTGGCTTTGAGTTTGCTTGCACGACCGTGTGCCCCTCTCTCCCAAGGCTCACTGACCTTTCAAGTGTAGGGTCAGATTGCAAAGCTGCATTAGTCGTGACTGAGGGAGTTTCTCGGGTTCCGATCCCTCCAGGTCGTCCTCCCGGTCAGCGAATCATTATTGTCGACCGGTGACCTGGCACGATGGACCTACATCATGTTCGCCTGTCCAATGGCACCCTACTACTCACTGTGGCTTATGTCCTCGACGGTCATGGCACCTCCTCTGAGCAACACCTCACTGATGCCTCGGGTCGTGACCACGACTCACATGATTCTCGTGAGTCCTCGGACGACAGCTCCACCACATCCGAGTCAGGAGACACCGAATGCGGTGCCGAGACTTCTGCATGCCCGCAGTCGGGACACGTCAGGCCACGCAGTCGTTCAAGGTCTAGGACCTAGGACCAGTCCCGGACTAGGCATGCATTTACACAGGGCATCGAATGCTGCGGGTGCGACCGCTAAGGGGTTTAGGTCGTTTGGTAACTTCGGTTTACCCATCGTGCCCGCAGGCTCCACGAGTGTCGACTTCGTGACCCCAGGACGCCAGCCGTTCTCTTTGCTGGGCATTTGTAGGCAGAAGCTCCTGGAGGAGCCGACCCCCACAGGGGCGCTGGACCTCGCCAGGCTCGATGCACTTGAGTTTCTCTCGCATGAGTTTGGCCTACCTTGGCGTTATGCCCCCGCCTGGCAGCTGTACCCCTGTTGATTCAGAGGCCTATCCGGATGTCCTGCGTGGGCAAAAAAGATGTAACCCGGAGCGGCATCCCGTCTTGTCGGGGGAACAAACCATTTTGAGTCTGACCAACGGCAAGGCGGCCGGCTACGATGGTGTGACCGGTGAGCTACTCCGCGCTCACACCATGTCCTCTGCTCGGGTGCTGGTGCCAGTTTACGCCAAAGCCTCGCTCAGCCTCCAGGAGGCCCTGGAATTTAGGGGTGGCGCGCTTGTGCCGTTGGCCAAGCACGCCTCGGCCATTATGACCTGCGATAGGTTCCGCAGCATCTTGGTGTCGAGCTTGCCGGGTAAGGTGTATCACCGGCAGCTCCGTACCCTTGTCATGCCGGCTTTGCAGCTTTGCAGGGGGGACACCCAAGCGGGTGCTGTGCCCGGAATCGCCACTGAGTCGATCTCTATGGTCGCTAGGACCTTCCGTTCGATGATGGCCGGGAGAAGGCAGGCGTGGGTGCTGACTTTTTTTTGACATACGCGCTGCGTATTATAGAGTTCTGCGCCAAATGCTTTGTCAAGTTGGCGATTCGGATCGTGCCATACAAAGGTTGATGCACGACATGGGGGTCCCGCCTCAGGCCCTCATTGAACTCTTCGAACACCTTTCTCGTCTTGACACCCTTGCCCGGGCTGGTGTCTCGAGCCATTTGCAGGGCATTATTTGCGACCTGCTCCAGGGCACGTGGTTTAAGATGGACTACGGGGCCGCGCTTACGATTACTCATCGAGGCGTGAGGCCTGGGGACTGTCTTGCTGACGTCCTCTTTTCATTCACTTTCAGCGCATACATGTCTGCCACCCATCGGGTGCTGGTCTTGCGACCGAGCTGCCCACGTTGGAGGCGCCCGCACTGTGGCCAGATCATCCTGCACCAAGCACCCTGACATGTGGCTCGTGGGCGGACGACTTTGTACAGTTGACCGTCCAGCCTTGCCGGTACACGTTGACCGAGAGGGTTATTCGGGTGGTTCGGGTGTTTGTGGAACAGGCAGAGTCCCTTGGCATCCAACTGACCCTTGCGGTCGACAAAACCGCCACCCTGCTTGCCTGTGTGGAGGACCAGTTCCCATCTGTGTGCATCGACAAGGAAGGAAGATTCCTCCTTGTACAGCTCCGTGTCAGGTAGCCAGTATCGGTTGCCAGTGGTGGATGCCTATAAGCATTTGGGCGGCATAGCTACGGCCTCGGGAACTCCGGTGCCGGCGATTTGGTTTCGACATTCCCTGGGCATGGGGATGATTCGTCCCCTCAGAGCCCGTCTGTTTGCATCGCCAGGGATTCCTTTCCCCACCAGACGCCACCTGCTCAATTCCCTCGCGATGTCCCGATATGCCTTTGGCAGTGCGGCACTGTCTCTTCAAGCTGGGATACATCGACACCTGTGGTGTAAGAACTATGTCGCGTTGTGGCGCAGCCTTTGGCGTAGAGGTAAGGATGAACACTACAAACACAGTTTTGACGTGCTTGGGAGTGTTGGGGCGCCCACACCCCCTCTGGCCCTTGCCCTCTCCCGCGCTGTTCTGTTGCGCCAGGTCTCCACCTATGGCCCTGCTACATTGCTGCATCTGTCATCTGCTTACGGTGCACTGGCACGAGGCCCCCAAAGACGCCTGGCTTGGCCACATAGCCGGTGATGTGGTCCACGTGGCCCAGTATTGCTCTGCTGCTCAGACTCTCATCGACGCCGGTTCGCCCATGGATTTCCTCATTGAGGCGACCCGTGACGACCCAAGCTGGTGGGTACGCCAGGTTAAGAAGGCATGCAGTGAGGTGCAGAAGGATTTTGAGCAGTGGCGCAAACACGGTGCACGCCCGGAAGCAGGGGGTGACGCTTCCCTGCCAGGTGTGACTGAGCCCGCCGCTCGCGACTTCCCTTGTGCATGGTGCGGAGCGAGGCTCTCGGGCTCATGTCCCGATTGTTTTTTCCGGACGCCACCTTCCTGTCGTGGGTTGAAGCCTTTGTCTCTGCCAGGTCCACAGAGGGTCCCAGAAGGGGTACAGCAACCTTTTGGGACAAAAGGCCCGCTCACTCTCAGTCTCACCCTTGCCAGAATTCGAAAACATGAGACGCGCCGCTGGACGGCTCTGAAGTCTGCAGAAGAAGAAAAAGACCCTAAACACGATAAGGCATCGGATACGGTCGACCCGCCCAAAACCCGACAGCTTGACAGCCAAACTCTCACTGTTGGGCTAAGGGTTTGAGGCTTGGGCTTTTGGGCTATTGGTTTACTCCCGAAGCCTTGACGGAGTGGTTTATAGGTTATCTTGAAGCCAGAGGCTCAAAACAGCCGAATCTTCAATTGCGAGCATTGCGGGACCTGGGTGGCAGGCAGAACAGACAGCTCATGCTCCTTTTTAGTCTAGGTGGCAGGATGGCAAAGCATGGCACAGCAGCACCTAATGCTCAGGATGCTTGTTTGTTGGGGTTGCGGAGTCCTTGCTAGCCAGCAAAATTCCCAGCTGATGCTCATGATGCTGGCCTGGGGCCGGCTAGGCGAGCAAGACAGCTGATGCTCGTGATGCTTGCCCGTTGGGGTTGTGGGTTCCCTGCTGTGCAGCATAATTCCCAGCTGATGCTCACGATGTGCTGGTCTTTGGGGCAAAGCAGAGGCACACCGGTCGAAAGTCCGCGCAAGGTTCCTACCGAGCCGTGCAGACTCTTCGTTTACACTCTAACCTGATGGTGAAGCATGGTGAAGCCTACAGCGCACGACGTAGATCGGAAAAAAACACTTCTTGAAATTCGTCTTCTGGATAACCGGGCTGGAAAGAGCGAGAAAAGTCGGAATGCAGTTGAAACAATTTGCGGAACTGTGAAGTGTGGCAGAGCACCCCCAGCACCCCCTAGAAATGGGCTGCGACGAGCACAAAAAAACATTGGCCTCGGAGACAAGAGCGGCAGCGGATGTCGCCAAAAAAAGGAGACGAGTGAACTCATGGATTGCACCGGGGGTATATGTCTTGCTAGGCTCAAGGGCAATGCGCTCACAGAGCTATCCCTTGTCAAATCCCGAAATGCCGGCAGGGCTGCAGCGGCGGCATCAAGGGCATCCCAGTCGAAGTACGCATCGCACCTGAGCTGCAAACTGGGCTCCAAGAAAGCTCGTCCCAGTCGATGCATGGGAATGATACGCAAACGCTGCATTTAAGACTGGGGCCGCTAGGCCCTTTCTGCCAGCTCCAAGGCGTCGAAGTCAAAGAAGGAATAGCACCTGATGCTCAGGATAGGGGCTGGATGGACAAGCAAAGCGCCAGCTAAGCTAATGCTGATGATACTGATCAGTTAGCGGCGGGGGCTTGCTTATTCGCTAACAAATTTAGCAGTTGACGCTCATGATGCTCGTCTTTGGGAGCCCAAAGACCAGCATCATGAGCATCAGCTGGGAATTTTGCTGGCTAGCAAGGCTCGACGGGCAAGCATCACGAGCATCAGCTGGCATCATGCTCGCACCAGCTGGCCCTTACAATGATTTCAAGCAAAAAGAGAGGCAGAAGACTGGCTCGGGTCCGGCACCCGTGCTTTGCTTCGGTTTTACATTCCGTGGAGCAAGAGTGCCATGACTTGTGTGAATTTGGCTACAGAGCAAGCCCGCGTAGTGCGATGCAGGCAAACAAGCTTTCGTCCGGCACACATCCGACAGCACCGTGCTCAAACGCAAACGACGTCGCATTATCACCGATGTTCCCAGAACTAGCATCCTGGAGGCCGAAAGCTTTCGACCTGATTTCGCCAGCTTCCACACCTCGCCAGGTGGTGCCGCCTCCGGGAGATAGCCCGACACATGCGAGAGAGCGGATAGTCGGAAAATGTTGAGAATTTGCATTTCGCTCGTCGGGACCATGCAAGGTTAGAATATTTTGTCAGGCCCATATCTTTGCTTGACGCAAAGAGGAAATTTCCAAGACACCGACTTGAGTTATACTGCGTGCGCAACCAAGACATGGCGGCTTTCTTGTTCGACGATTCGAGGATGGCGGGAGAATCACGCCGAGAATACGTGCCGGTCGGAATCGCTTTAGAAGAAGATTCGTCTAAGTTGCATCATCGATTGGAGATAGGAGGAGATAGGCACTAATTACAATCAAAATCTTACTTAGAGAAGATTCAGAGAATTAATAGGTTTTCTAAACAATCTAGAATAAATATATATGTTTTCTTTATTATGATATATATATATATCTTACGAATTTTACGATTCATTATTATCAGAGTAAAATGGCTGCTTGGCAAAATGGATTTCGGGATCGAAATTCTTAATATATTGAAAATTTATAATTTCTATATCTGAATTAGAAATATATCTCAAATATAAAATCTAGGTCTAGATTAATAAAAATATGATAATTGTTTGATTTTGCATCATATTTTTTCTTGGAAAATATATTATTTTTATATACAAATGAAGAAGAATCTCGCCTTATTACATCGTGCGATTAATTACTCGATATTATTGATATTCGAAATTCTAATTTTTTAAGATTTTATATACGTGTATAGTTTCTTTGCGATTTGGATTCTTGAAATATTTCTTGTTGAAAAAATATATATGATAATTTAATATAAAATGCATTTGTTTCTCGAAATGAAGGGCGAATTAATGATTTTATTTGATGAATTTTGATAGATTTAAGAGAGATATTTTGGCAATAAAATTATCTAGAATTATATTATTATGATATATATATTTAATATTTTTTTCATTGATTTATATTTTGGATTTAAATTCGACAGAAATAAAAAAATATATATTGATTGATTGATTCTAATAGAATTATTTCGTATTTTTCATATAATAGTTTTTCTATTTTATTTGAAAATAAGAAAGATGATGATATGCTCGTATGCATATATATATATTCTTAGAATTGATATTAATCTTCTAATGATTGATATTTATATTGGGCATTGATTGTCTCTTTATTGATATATGGTAAGCATTAAGATAGAATTTAGGAAGAACGTCCAAGAATTTATAGTTAGATTCTCTTGTTAATTCGTATCAATGAACCGATAATTGATTGTTCTAATATTCCGAATTATATTATTAGGAAAAACTAATCGATGATTAGATCCGAAGATTCTAGATTTATCTTTTAAATTGCGAAAAATTTATGGAGGTCTTGGAATGATAAAATAATTACATCTCTGAGAATCGAAGAGTCTGACTTTGCTATATATCAGATTTTTCAAAAAAAATTCGTTAATTCGTATCCATAGACCGACAAATAAAATAAATTGATAATCTATTCTATCTTGATTATATGATCATGAGATTATAATTTTTAATTTAGCTACGAATATTTTGAATTTATTTGTTAATTCATGAAGAATACGGAAGATTATATAATATTACGAATATAAAAATCATAATGAGATCATATATTCGTAAGAATTCTATGAAAATCGCAATTTTCATCTAATTTATTGATTATGATCAATTCCCATGGGAATCAGGCTCAATTATTTCTATTCGTCGTTACTTCTGGCAGAGATATAATATCAATATGGAGCATAAAATCAAAAATAAGTAGATGAGCATTTCTAATTTGATTATTTCATAACTATTATAAATCAAATAATTGCCCAGAAAGATCTGACATTTCTTTTTCTATCCAGAATTGAAAAAGAGTCATAAAAGAATCGATATATAGATATATATTATAGTAAAAGAGAATATTATAGAAAAATATATAAATCATGAAATACTAAATGGAAAGTCGGACGAAATCATCGATAGAAGAAAATATTAGAATATCGTAGAGAATTAAGATATATCGAAATATTTGGATTATTTATATTTCAAAAAAATTATATATATTATAATCGAATATTGGATATTGCCCCGTCTCATTAATAGATACCACAAAATAAATCATAAAAAAACACAAGAAATTCTAACGAATTTAGCGATTTTCTACATCAGAGAAATGAATATTGAACATCTAAGTGCAATACCTCAATCTCTAAGAAGACAAGTCCCGAAAATTATTTCTCTTTTCTCGCAAGAATAAAATATATAGAACGCAAGGCCCAGAAAATACTCGTTTCTTGGTCGAGATTATAAATATCCATGGCGAAGCTACGAGACCTATCGTTCGTTTCTTATACCCTCGTCTCCGAGGACCTCCCAGGCTTTCCCAGACCTGTCAGAGCCTCAGGACCTTCCAAGGCCTCCCAAAATATCGTAGACCTCTCAAGGCCTCCCAGAGCCTCGTGATTAGCTTCTTTTAATCAAATTTTTAAAGGGAATGACGGATCTTTTTGATATATTTGAAATTAATAATCAAGTTGTATTTTTTTCTGCTCCAATATATATAGATTAATTATATTTTTCTTAGATTTTATTTTAAAAATTTTAATTGAGATTAATTGCAAGAGTGCAAAATAATAGAATCATTCTCGTATTTTTTAGGTTCTAATTTAATTCTTTCTTATACTTAATTTTATAATTTATAATTGGATTTAAATTCAAATATTGCCAAGAAATATATTATTTTTATATTTTTTTTATAATCTAATTTATACGTTTTTAAAATAAATTACAAAAATAGTTTCCTCATATATCATTCGAGTTTT